CAACTCTAGGTCTACTCTTTAACCAAAGAATAGTGGGATTGACCATCACATTATAGTGCCCTCATGTTAGCCTCACAGTCCTACACGTTAACCTCCGATGAAAAAACAACAACGAGAAAGTTAAAAAAAAACAGTTTTTGTTTTTCAAGAGTTTAAAGGTTTCAATGAATTCTTTATGATCTTTGAAGCCAAACAGGATCACAGCAGATCTATTAGATACGTTGATTATCAGAGATAAAATTTAATGTAGACATGTGCACCAGATGAAGTTCATACAAACTTATACATAATGCAGTGTAAAGCAGTAACTATTTTTGAACAGTGCATGTTATAACTGAGGACTGGTGTACAGATAATACGGTGGTTGGTGATGTAAGCAAAAAATAAGGAAGCGGTATAAACGTCATTTAAAAGGTGTAGTACCAACTACCAGGGGGTTTTACTAGTAAAATATCTTTGATGCTATAACGCACCTCGTATAATTGCTGCGTAATCAATATTTAGCACTTAATATTCCTGGGTGGGTCTAAATACTGGTAAAACTTTTAAATTTAGATGGTCTTGTTTACGAGACCTGTAAAACATCAAGACCCAAATGATCCGAGACCTTCAATAGAGTGGTCTCGAGACCTACAATACTGATAAATATACTGTATTCCGAATTTATACAACTATCTTTGTTGTTACAACAGCAAATTGTAATTTAATAATGTTAAAATCTTACCTTGTCATACCAACATTTGAAGCTTATGGTGGCACAAGTACAACTTGGGGACGTACAGTCATCTTCACATCGGCAGCTCTATGAAAACCACAAATTATATATGTCATTCCTGTTTTTAACCTTTACATAACCATCTAGTGCTAATTTAGATTCATGATAAGAATAAAAAGGTAACATAATATTTGTTTTTATAAGTAAAAGATATTTTGTGGAGTTTCCTACTCACTTCTCCATTACTGCTGGGACGAACAACGTGCCAAACATACCACGTAACTTCATTATTAACTTTAATTACATGTCAATGTTATAAATGATACACAAAAACACACTTCCCATAGCTTGTAACAGTAAACTAAAGGAACACAAAACACACTTCCCATAGCTTGTAACAGTAAATTATAGGGACACAAAACATCCATTCCATAGCTTGTAACAGTAAAATATAGGAACACAAAACACGCATTCCATAGCTTGTAACAGTAAATTATAGGGACACAAAACACGCTTCCCATAGCTTGTAACAGTAAAATATAGGAACACAAAACACACTTCCCATAGCTTGTAACAGTAAATTATAGGGATACAAATCACACTTTCCATAGCTTGTAACAGTAAAATATAGGGACACAAAACACACTTTCCATAGCTTGTAACAGTAAATTATAGGGACACAAAACACTCTTCCCATAGCTTGTAACAGTAAAATATAGGGACACAAAACACACTTTCCATAGCTTGTAACAGTAAATTATAGGGACACAAA